ACAAAATTAGTCACTTTTAGGGTATATTTATCCCTTAATTCCATTTTCTTTAATTCTTTTTCCTTTTTCCTTTTTCCTTATCCATATCCTTTTGGCATTATACCATTCAAATTTCCAACATTAGGGCATGCCAAATAAACATAATTTTCATCATATTAACATTCATAATCCATTACAAATTAACATCAAACTCATTGGAACATTACACAACTTTCCAAAATATCATAAATTCTCTATTGCTCCTTCTTCCCAAAACCATGTCCTTGCCCTTGCCATCAGATGAGTCATTTCCTATTTGAGACATAATTTAACATATGGGGAGTGAGATTTCAAAGAAATCTCAGTAGCTTATGAATTATGACTGTCATGTAAATCAAACAAGTTTACATGTGACATGTCATACCATTCAAAACTATTCTCAACCATAGGAAATCACATCTAATAGCATGCAAGGAGAGGAACATTAACATTTCCCATATTGGCATACCACAATGCATTTGGCCAAAGCATAAACCAATGTCATTCAATTAACCAAAAGCACAACACAAGTTCCTCCAACCCAAGCAAACAAGAAATCATATTAAACAAGCAAGATAAACAATCAAATTATAATTCAAAGCAACCTTTTCAACACTTGTCCACTAGGTTACTTCGAGGAACAAAGTTTCTCCTTGGTTCCTCCTCACAATGCCTATTAAACCAACTATAAAAATAGACCACATTAATCACTAACCAACTCAAACACAATTCCTAAACTTTAACTCAATAATTCTCCCCTTTTTCTTTGATTTTTAACCAAGTGATTCCTCCTTTAGAATCAATAACCTCATGACTCAATCCTACACAATTTTTCATGAGAAATCCAATGGTGCAATCAAATTTTTAAAATTCATACTCCTTCCCCATGAATTTACCTTGGTTGAATAGGGGGTTATATATCTTTAAAAATTCTATTTTTGATTCTAATGATTTTAAACACTTCCCAACCAAATATCCCTACACAAAAACATGTTTTAAAGCCATTGGAATCATCAAATCGAACCAAAACAATTTCCTTCAGCATGAACAGTGCTAGGCCGAAAATGACATAGAACCCTAGATGCAATTTCTTCCAAAAACCAATCCATATACCATTTAATCTTGCTTATTCTACTTGATTATTAAGGTTTCTATCCTTTCCCAAACATCACAAAGTCCAGCAAAATTTTGGCAGTATTTTTCTTAATTTTTCAAGCTAAAAACCTCAACTAACCAAGCTTGAAACTTAGGAATAGGAAGGCATAAAGCATACCTAAATGTTTCCTTAAGGTAAGTTGAATGATTCCTTATCCAAAACCCTTAAGATTTTCAGCCAAATGGAGCTGGAGCTACAGTGACAGAGTCTCCCCTTATTTTTCTAATTTTCCAACATTTATTTGTATTTTCCAAGGGATATTTATAGAAAAATTCAATCTTCCCCTCTCCCTCCTAATTTGGCCAAAAATGGACACCTCAAGGGGTGTATGTGGCAGTCATCAAGTGCCAAAATAATCGGATCTTCACAAGTGGCCTTAATCTAGATTATTCCACACAATTATCCCTTAATTTCACATTTATTTTAATATAAATAGAGGGACCTGGAAACTGCACGAAATTGGGCCCTTATTGGGCTCAATGTAGGCCCCAAAAAAGGTTTGGGCTGGTCCAAAAAGCTGGATCACAAACCAAATCACTATCTCAAACCAATTGGAAACTTTATCGGTTACTATTCACTAGTAACATTCCATAATTTTTTAAATAAAAATTTCCTGAAAAGCCTCTGTTTACGGGAAATTCCGTAATAATTTGCTTTTACTGTAATTTCACCTTTTGATCCTCAAATAAGTTTTCAAAACTTCCAATTTATACTTTTCCTATTTTTTAGGGATTTTCTAGAATTTTTCTCAAATTTTTCTGTTTTGCTCTTTCTAAACCGATTATTACAAAAATACCAGCCCAGACCTTATCGGGGTTTCACATTAAAAGTTGTTTCATCTCCCCTTCTAGTTCCTACATTGACCCTCATTCTAATTTTTAATCTCTTATAGCCAGGTAAAAATTTTTGGAATGGACAAGGTGTAAATTTTTTCCAAAAGTTTTCACTTAAGACTAGTCATCCGAAAGATTTATTTTTTGCAAATTAGCTTTGGAAGTTTAAAATCATATTACTTTTGCTCCCTACCATGAGAAATGTTAATGGCCAATATCACTATTTTAGTAATTAATATTAGTTTTTTGATGATATGGGTAAAATTGCTATGGTTTTAAACTTTTGGGACATACTTGTACCCAAAATACCTTTTGATTGCCTAACGCTCTGAAATAAAAAATTTTAAAACAAATTTACATTTTAAGCTTTTTTTATTTAAAAAAGACACATTTTTATGGTTCCTCTTAAATTTCAAAATGCCGCATTTTAGTTTTCCTCCTCTCTATGCATGGGCATTAGCAAATCTTAGGCCTCCATTTGGAATTTAGCTTTTTTGCATTTTATTTGTTATTTTCTTTGCTTGTTAGATTTTTTTTTTTTTTTTCGGGCGGCTGAGTCGCTACCCACAAGGCGGGAGCAAAAGGAGCCCTACCAAATTCATTTCAAAGTCAAGATTTGTTCTTCTTTTTCTTGCCTTCCAATTTTTGGCCTCAACGGAGTCATCTCCTCCGGTCTCATCATCATCTTCATCTTTGCCTTAGGAGCTCGAATTCGGCGTCCCTTTTCGTTCCCTCCTTTACCAGCTGCTTCTTCTTCGAGCTCCCCATTGTTGCACTTACACTCCAACTTGGAGCCTGAGTTCGGCGTCCATTTCCGTCCCTTTTCTCCGGCATGTTGAAGAACATAACAGTGAAGAACTCTTGCCTTCTCTATCGCGATTTTCTAATCTGTGTCATGGAGCTACGCTCCATTTTCATCCACCCTTTCAGTTCTTATGATTGGTTTTGGGGGAGAGAAGGAAAAAAAATTTTGAGAACCCAAAAACACAATCGAGCTCGTCTATGTGTGTGGCTGCCAAAGTTGCTCCGCGATTTTTCTTCCATTGCTGCTACTCTCTTCAAGTCTAAGGGTTGTGTCGCTAATCTCCATCGTCTCCCCTTATGATTCGTTCTGTTGCAGCGTTGGGTAAGGGCCTATCTCATTCAAATTCCACCCTTTCTTTCTTCTTTCTTTGGATATGCCACAGCTAGTATTCGTAATTGCTGCAACTATTTGGACCTATTTTGAAGCATTCTTTTGCCAAATTTTAAACCCAAAACGGGGGAGAAAAAGGCCTGGGTGTTGGCAGAAATTCAAGGAGGTAGAAAATTTTTTTAAATGGGGTACTTTTATTTGTAATGTTTTGTGTAGCATCTGAATGTAAATGATAAGAGGTATTGATTATTTTTCTTCCGTTTTTTAAAACTAATAGAGAACTTAGAAGTGAGGAAATAAATCTAGTTAATGAAGATGGTGACTAAATGCCTTGGGGAGCTTGCATATGATGTTTGGGGTTAGTTGAAAAGAGACTGAATATGTTACAAAACTTATCTTGCAATTTTGTTTTTTGTTTTGGCATGAATGTAGCAATTTTGTTAGTTAGCGTAATTTGTTTGTTAAAACGCCCCTATAAGAGATTACAGTGGTTTAGGTTATAGTTATCCATGGGAGTTATAATTTTGGTTGGACTTTATTTTGCAATGTGTAAATTCTATGTTAATACATAAAGATTCGAAATCTAGTGTTTAAACTTGTTAGAATGATTAGTTTAGTGTGAGAATATGAAGAGAGAAGCTTTTCAGTTTTTAGTTGGAATATCTCATGTTGATTGGTTATGGTTTATTAGGTGCCTTACAATGTTCTAATAGTTTTCATAATTGATTTATTTGGGTCTTGAATAGAATATATGGTATTGGAAGGAAAGTGAATGTGAAGAAAATAGGAGGGAAGTCTAGTTATTATGAAAAAATTTTGTTGGACAAGAAAAGGAATATGACCTCTTCCTTGAATATAAGATTAATAGAAGATATGGCACAATGCAGCAGATAACTCATTAATTTGACTCTTGTAACTTTTTGTCTTGAAAAGAGATTAATCATAACTCTTTCTTTTTGACATAAGTCATTGTTAGTAAGAGAGTTTTCCCAAAAAGGATTATTAAAGGGTATGCCACATCACTTTGTCATTTACCAAGATCTTTATTTTTGTTTGAAGAGTGCTGTAGTTGTTCACAAATGTAGGTTGCCTATCATCATAAAGGAATTGAGTATAAAATGAATTTGGCTTGTTTTTTCATTTGGGATCGGTTAAAAACATTTTCTGACTGTGATGCTCCTGAGTTGTCTTGGATTGCAATAATGTTACATGCAAGTCCATTATTAATACTGTTCTAATCTCAAGACAGAATTTCTTAACTTAGAGTTCTTTAAAGTATAGGTTAATGATTTGAGTACAAATATTGCTGAATCTTGCATGCTATGTTAATTATTTTAATTTTTTATTGTGTAATTTGTTAACTTAGAATTAAAAGTACAGATTCTATCTTCATTAACTGGGCCATAGAATGGAAGTTTCAGAAAATCAAAGATGAATATATAATTAAATAGATTCATTTGTTCAACTGAGTCACTGAATCATGGTATAAGGGTTGATGAGCAGTATGTGAATAGGGGACTATTGAAGTTCATGAATTACGGAGGTACAACATGTATGGGCTTGGAGCCTCTAATACACCTCTCTTTAATGCTTTCTAATGCCCTTTGAAATGTCCCAACTTTCCAAATTTTTTTTTCCCAGTTTTCTTTTGATCACTAGATTATCGTTTAAAATAAGCAGCATTTTGATATCTTAAGATAATGAAGTTATGCAATTTTGAAATTTTTTATGATTTTTCATAGAAAACACAAAATTTACAGCATTTTTCTTTGGAAAATTGTAAAAAAATTTAAAATTGCACCATTTCATTACCCTAAGATATTAAAATGTCACTTATTTTACATGGAATCTAATGATCAAAAGGGGGAAAAAATCATTCAGGAGGTTGGGGCATTGCGAAGGACATTAGAGGGATACATTAGAGGCCCCAAACCCAATTAGTATAACCCATTTATTTTTGCTCAATAAGCAATGCAGGTGGACTACATGCTTTTATCTTTTCCGTCAAAAGGCAAACTAGTTAGTGTTTATTAAAGGTCAAGGCTCATAGCATAATTGGCACTCCTACATCTGAAACAAATATAGGGGCATCTTAAGTGGATGGACTAGGGTATACTACTAGCAATTGTTCATGATGATGAATTGAATAACCAAAGAGACTTTGAAATTTGCTATGAAGAAGTACATATGCTAACTGATTACATGGTGAAGAAGAAGATATAGAAGATGGTGAAGAAGATTCTTATACAGAAGACAATGATGCTGATACATAAATTATGGTTCTGAATTTCTGTTGCTATTTAGTGTTGAGTTTAACATTGATTGCATTGACTTTTAATTGATTTAGTTTTGATTAGATTCAATTTTGTGATGATTGATTTATTATTTATCACTAACTCAAGGTTGAAATTTGAATATGCAAGTGTCAAGTCGTAGCCTAAAGTATTGTAGGGTCCAATTGAGTACTATAACACTTGCATAATTGCCTTTGCAACTTGAAAAATCCCTTCTTCCTCATGATTCAGCCGCATCTACTCCTCCAATTATGCCAGGACCATCTAGACCTAGATCATCTCCAATCATGCCCAAACCATCCAGATCTACATCATCTCCGTTCATGATTGAATCAATTAGAAGACCCTCATTGTCACTTACATCATCTTGTCCAATTTCTTCTCCTGGAACAAAACACTCGCAGCCTCCCACTTCACAGGCTCCTCTCACTAGTTTTGCACCATGGAGTTATGATGCCTCAGATAGTTGAACATAGATTTATCCTGAGAAGAAAACGTAAGTCATTAAGTTTACATTACTTTATTTGATATCTCTATTTAGTAGCTGAAAGTCATTTTTACATTTAATAATGATTTCTATAGAATTATTCTCAGGTTTAATCCTGATGTTGGTTCTATACGGATTATTCTTCCTATAGTTTGAGCAAAATTTGAACATCCATGTTTTAGTTGGAAAGCAACACCTCCTCAAATTAAGCAAATGTGGTTTACTAAATGGGCGGTATATTATACTTGTATCATGTCTTGATTTTTAATCCCTCACTCTGTTTTTGTTTTGATTTCTTTTTTGGCTTCTCATTTGTGCAGAAAAATTTAAATGACTACCACAAGATGAAGATGCTATAAAGAAAAATTAGAATACAAAATGTGGAGTAATCTTAAGAAATACTCCTTCGGTTCTAAATATAAGACCCTTATATACACTAGTATAAGGGTCCTATATTTAGGACCAGAGGAGTACTATGTATCGTGTTGGCAAGACCTGTTTCAAAAACATATTAGGCCTAATTGGATTCCAGATAATGTCATGAATAATTTAGAGAAAATATGGACATCAGAAGATTATCAGGTCAAGTGTGACATAGCTAAAGCCAATGGGCCATCTTCCAAAGGAGACACTTAACACAAAAGGGGTAGTAGCATTCCTAATAGTGAGCATAAGAGGAGGCTGGTAAGAGTTTATCTTCAAATGCAATTATTATTTACTTGCTCAAAAAGACATTATAATGAAAAACACTAGCCTGCTTGTGCATCATAGGTTGGCTGAAGTTTATGGAAGGATGCGTTTCTTATTATTATTTTCACTAGAACTTTGTTGATGGTTGGAGACCTGACTAGTTCTAGTGAATCTTGATTTATTATTTTCAACGTCATGGGACAGGTTTTCAATTGATTTGAATATGTCGTGCACGATCGAGCCCTTTTGGCTGTAGGTATTTCTCCTGGTCATTATTTGGTTATCTTGGGCAGTGGAGTCTAGGCTCAATGGATGTTTAGAATTTGTGAATTGTTTCTACGATACTATGATATTGAAGAGTTAGTTCTTGCAAACTCGTTTTTAATCATGTTCATATAATCTATTTCCTGTATTATGAATTTTTGAATTCATTACATTATTTAAGCAGGATTATTAAGGCTCAAGACATCTATCAGTTCTAATACAGATTCTTCAAATGTGCACTCAAATGATCTAAATGATGAAGAAATTAACCTATGTCAGAGGCTCTAGGTAGTAATAACAAGTAGAGTTCTTGTCTAGGTTGAAAGCAATTGAGCATATATTATTTAGGACCTCTGACCATTCAGATGCTAAAACTGACGGAGGAGACCATAGAAAATGAAAGTTACTGCCCTCGGTCCCAACTGTAAAAGCTAGTTAACTCATTTGAGGAGATTAAGAAAAAAAAGTTAAATTAGTTAGTTGTAATAAATAAATGATATTTTTTCAAAAATATCCTTGCTAATCAAGTGTATTGGTTAGAACTATTATTATTTGAAAGACTAACTTGGAAAAAAAAGAGCATAAATATGATAGAAAAAGTGGATTGAGATTTTATATTTAGAATTAAAATAAAAGTCAAACAAAGTCTTATATTAAGAACCAGAGGTGGTATTAGTTGTGGCTAATTTCATAACTTAATGTGTATTATGTTACTATGTTATAACTGTTTGCTAAGACTACTTTAGTATATTGTAGCTTATTATTATATTTGTTAGACTTCTAATATTTTTCTTGCAACTTGCTATATTATATAAATTAAAATAGTAATTATGGAAAATAATCAAATTAATGATGGATTTGTGATGAAAAATATCATTAAATAGTTGTCATTCTAATTTGTTGCAAATATGTGATAGATAGTTGTCACTAGTTAGCTTCTTTTTCCTTTTTATGTGATAAGCTCAACTTTAAAACAATGCATTTCAAAGATTTGTTTGTTTGAATGCAGCATTGCTTCGTTTATTAAAAGATATAATATTAAGGGAAAAGGTCATATAAACAACCTTGAAATTGTGATATTTTAAATCAGGCATATGAGATTTCAAGATTCCTAAGAAATGTGTTGATCTGGGATTTTGAAATTTAAGGGCAATGACAAAAATTTCCTTTTTCTTTTTTTTAAGTATTCAATCCCCTCCTGCTGGTGCTGGAGCCGGCTGTTGATGGGAGAACTTTTATTTTAAAAAAAAAAAAAGAATTGATTATATATATATATATAATGATACACACATATTAGAAGGGCAATTACAACTTATCCAAATCATGTCCTATGAAAAGTACCAAATATACATCACTTTGCAAAGCAGAATCTTTATGGGAATTCAGTAGAGGATATTACATCTGCGCTCAAGTTCATTCTGAAATATTAGACACAGGTACATATATATATATATGTATATGTATGCATATATAACTATATATATATCTATGTCTGTACACACACATATATATAGGACCATAAATTCATTGAACTTTTCAGTTACCCTCCATTGTTGAGTAAAGATTCAAGGAAGTCATCGGTCCAATCCTGAGAATAAGTAACAGAGGTATATAAATTAGAAGAAAAGAAAAAAGTACAGCAATAATTGGTTAATTAATTTTCACTATAAGAAAATAATCAATTAAAGCAAAAACATACACATGCCTGAGGAATTTGTTCGGGGTCTTTGAGATCTTCCAAGTCTTTCTCAGAGAGATTCAGCATTTCCAACACCTATTGAATGTATATTAGTTATAATTAAATACTACTAGTACTTCTATATGTAAATAATCACATTAGCATAGAATAATGGCTTGTTACTGTGATTAATTAGTTATAATTTAATTCGCCTTCCATTAGTTAGCATAATTTGCTTTAATTAGTTTAAATAAAAACTGAAAAAATCAATTCTTTTATTTCATGTCTAGATTTATTATATTTAATCAAGTTCTCATGTATGGTACGACTTAAGTTAACCACTACACTATATAAGAGTTTATTTAGTTGTAGTATTAATTTACGCGTGACATGCGAACATCAAATTGTGAAAACATTTTATCAAGTTTTATTGCAAGACATACAAATAAAAATGAAACAGAAAATTATATATCGATATACTCCTCCGGTCCTTAATATAGGACTCAATTCTTGAGTTGGTTTTGGTCTTAAATATAAGACCTATTTTTCATATTTATTAATTTTTTTCCTAAATTACCCTTATGGATACTCTCTCAACCCTAATCAAGTAGAAGAAAGAGATGGAATATTAAGAAAGATAATTATGGTGTTATAGGAAAAATGTGTTATTTTTCTTATAATTAATTAATTTACCGAACTTCCTTAATCTAATCACATTAGTTAAATGGGTTTTATATTAAGGACTGGAAGAGTATATGTTAGATTTTTGGGCTTGGATCCGCCCTTGATGGGCCGGATTATTTGACCGGGTATAAAGAGAATATATCAATCAAATATTCAAGTGATATCGTGATATGTTTGACTTGGTCAAACACCCTGAATTATATCCAATCGGTTACGATATAAATTTAATTAATTTATATTAAATTAATTAATTTATATTGTGTAGATTAAATATATATTAAGTATATATATTTAGAATTAATTGTGATTGATCCTGGATTTGAATTCAAAATATCATGATATTATGAGATAAGGATATATTATATTTTATCTCAGATTTTATCTGATGGGCTCAGTGGATATTTTTATGCTACCCAAAATATCCCTGACAAAAGCTATAAATAGAGGCTTCCCCCCATCAGTTCAAATCACTCCAGTTGTAGAGTTTTCCAACTATCTCTCTCTCTCTTTCTTATTTTCTTTCTTGCAAAAGTGGTGCTCTGCTGTGCACTTAAAAGCTTAAACTTTTATAGTCTAGCTTAAGCGTGAGCCAAGAAGATCCGACCGACCCGACCCAAGATCCGACCCGGTATGTTTTCGATCCATTGTGTTATTTATCTTACATTGGCATCAGAGCCGAGATGTTCTTGAGGCTCTCAATATATGTGTGCATATATATAATACACGCTCATTTTTTTCCGCTGCATCATGAATATTCCGTATGCAATTCGAACTCTATATGCTTGTGTTTTAAACTCAAATACACACTCCATTTATATAAGTGAAGTTCGAAAACATTACCTATTATTCCGTAAGGTTTAAAAACGTGACCGAAGTCTTCTTTCTAAAGCTTCCAACGTCGGCCATTCGAACCATTTTTTTGATTCTTTAAAAATGATGTTTTTTAAAGAAAATGAACCCATAGAGTTGTAGAGCACGAAAATACGAGTTCATAGACACCTAAAATGCATAAAACGGAGCTCGGAGGAGGAAGATATGGTGGTTCGAAAATGGCGGGTCGCGACGGACCCGCCGGAGCTCCAGCCGGATCTGGAGCGACCCGGCTGGAGGTCAGGGACGACCTGACCAGCCCAAAACGGCGTCGTTTTGGGCTAGCCAGGACGCAGCGTTTCACTTAAAGTGAAACGCTGCGTTTCGGGTCTGTGGACCCGGACCGACCCGACCAAAAATTTTTTTTTTTTAAAAAAGTTTTTTTAAAATAAATTTTTTTAAATTAAAAAAAAAATTTTGAAATTTTTTTTGGACGCGCCATGTGGGCGCGTGGGGTCCACCTAGGGACCCTTTGGTCATAAAAAGCACATATATAGACTCCTTGAGACGCGGGGAATCAGATGGAATAGGTCAGGTGACGGCGAAAGGCCGAAAAGGCGGCGCGTGTATGACACGCGCCAGTCCCGAGAGTGGGCGAACCTACCCCTTAATTTAAAAAAAAAAAAAATTTTTGCTTATTGGGGCGCGTGAGGGCGCGTGAGGGGCTATTATTGAGCCCTGTTTGACCTGAAATATTTCTAAAATCATGAGCTATAAATTAATATATTATGTGTCGATTTTTTATGACTTTTTGGGTACGAAAAATAGCAAATAAATGTTTTTGAATATTTATTTTTATTTTTCTTAACTTGTTCTTTTTGGGTTTAGGAAATGGCCAGTTCAAACTCAAATTCTAACTCATCTTTTGGAAAATATCCAACTTATTCTCCTCTTTCTGATGATCCGAAATCTTCAAATTATTATGCTGCCGAAAGTACAAATAAAAGAAAAGCACCTCAATCACAAGTAAACTCTAATGTACCTGAGGGGAGCAGTGGTAAAAGGAAATGTGTTCCTGACCAACAAGAGGAAGAAGTCTGCAGACCCAAGGACATAAACTTAATAGAACAGATAGCAGAAAAGCATGCTGATGAATATAAGCATCAAAAGTGCCTCTTTTCAAAATTGACTTATTATGCTAAACAAATTGTCAATGAGCAAGACGCACTCTTTTTCTCAAATACTGCAATCCAATACCGAGAGGAACTGGAGGAGGGGACACATATTTACTGAAGCATTTTTTAAACAAAGTCTCTGTAGATGCTGGAAAAATGTTAAAGAGGGTTTGAGAGAACCAATGATAAAATATATCATGAACAAATGAGTTTCTGTTCACATTTATTTTTCCTTTTCATTTAATGTTTACTCTTGAGACTTTATTTTTGGGATTATCCAAATTTTTTGTAAACATTTATGCTTCGATAAATAAAGTTTTTTTATTACAAATGCTTTATTTGAGTGGGAGTTTCATGAGGAAAACTCCAATTGGGGATATGTTCAAGGAAAGTCAGAGGTAAGAAAGGTAAGAGACTAACCAGGAGTAATGGGATGGGAGCCAACCTAGTTGTCTCCTGATCATGAAAATGGTGAGACTCTTACCCAGACGACCTATGACCTACTTGAATAAAGTGTGTATATTGCATACCGTACTAAAATGCATTGTTGTCTATGTGATAGCACGATGTCTCAAAGAGGAATCAAGTCCATTATAGCTGACCTCGTAGGAGGTGACAAGCTGAACGGAGACAATTACAGCATGTGGCGTCGTAAGATATCATATGTCCTCGAAGAACAAGAAGTCACTGATGTGTTGACTACTTTTCTTCCAGAGCCTGAGGCAAATGCATCGCGAAGGGACCAGGACGGCTACGCAGCCTGGAAAAGAAGGGACACTATCGCCAGAATAACCATGCTGAGTGCCATGACTGACGATGTGTTGGTGCAATTCGAAACACACCCTTCCGCCTCTGCCATGTGGGCAGCGCTGAAATCCGAATTTGACGGTACCTCTGCTGCGAGGCTTAGGAGACTCACCGTCAAACTTGATAATTTCAAGCTGGGTCCTAACACTCCCATAAGGCATCACCTAAGGGCAATGCAGAACTTAATCAGGGAGCTTAAGGAAGCCGGAGGCGCTTTATCTGATGAGCAACAGATTCAAGCTGTCATGAGATCTCTCCCAGCAAGTTGGGATACCATGAAGCACACCATTACTCATAATGACAGTATAAAAACCTTTGTTGATGTAGCTCGCCACCTCCAACTGGAGGATGATCGGATGGAAACTGTGAAGCCTGTCAATAAGGCATATTTAACTGAAGGAAAGGGAGGGGCAACCTCCCAAAACCAGTCCAAGAGAAGCAAAGGCTCTCAAAATAAGAAAGGTGGCCCTAAAGTGAAGAAGGGAAAGAGTTCCTTCAAGAAAGGCAAGAAACCTGCAAAGAAGCGGAACATAGCAACCATCAAATGCTATGCTTGCCAACAAAAGGGACATTATGCCAAGGACTGCCCTGAGCAGAAAAAGGTATTGGATTCAGATTCAATACATTTCTCTTATGTTTCTAGCACTGCGTTTATTGCTGAAACTAATCCTGTTTGGGTTATAGACTCAGGGGCCACAGACCACGTGAGCAAGGATCGTGGGAACTTCACAGAATTTTGTCGGTTACCAGCAAGAAGCAGATGGCTTTATGTTGGGAATAACGCGAGAGTAGAAGTCAAAGGGATCGGTACTTGTGAGCTGACCCTGCATGGAGGAAGGACCCTAGTCCTGCAGAATGTCCTCTACGCTCCGGAAATCCGACGAAATCTTGTGTCTGTCATTTCCTTAGTTAAATTTCGTTTTAATGTCTTTTTTCATGATTTCACAGTAGACATTTCGTATGGGACCAACTTTTCAGTTTCTGGTTATGTTTCGGATGGTTTCTTTGTTTTAGAAAATTTCAATGATAATTTTTCTAGTTCTTGCTATGCGCTTTCTTCCGATGTCAATTACGATATATGGCACGCTAGATTAGGACATATTGGTCAAGAACGCATGACCAAACTGGCAAAAGAGGGTTTGCTAGGAAACGTGTCCAAAAAAGAAATGTCTCTGTGTGAACATTGCCTTGCTGGCAAGAGCACAAGGAAGCCTTTCCGAAAGGCAACCAGGGCTAACCATCCTCTTGAGTTGGTACACTCTGATATTTGCGGACCAATGAGTGTTAGGGCACGTCATGGAGCATGGTATTTTATTACCTTCATCGATGATTCTTCCCGATATGGCTATACTTACCTGATTTCCCACAAATCTGAGGCATTAGAGTGCTTTAGAAAATATCTCAATCTAGTGGAAACTCAGCTAGGTTCAAGAATCAAAGCCTTAAGAACTGACCGAGGCCGAGAATACCTCTCTGATAAGTTCAAGGAGCTCTGTGAAGAAAGGGGCATTGTTAGGCAACTAACAATCCCTGGCACTCCTCAACAGAACGGAGTTGCTGAAAGGAGAAATAGAACTCTCCTCGATATGGTTAGATCAATGATGGCACAAGCTGAGCTTC